TGACTCTTAATTATATAAAAGTACCTTGAATTTTTAAGTTTAATTAAAAAGCAAAATGCTCTGCGGACATGTTCATGAGAATATAAATTTTTTGTGTAGCGAAATCTACAACACTTGTCAATCATATTGCATGTGTGTCTAAAAATAACATGTGGGCGTCCCACAGGCTAGACAGGTTTTGTGTCAGGCCCTATTTCAAATTAGGGCCTGAACTTCAGGTTAGGCGTCAGCAAAGGCCGAAATCCAACGAAATCCGCCATGTTTTTGGCGACACTTGTTTGACCATAGGCAGCCCACTAAACGACTGAATTTAAATTAAAACTGCAGTGAAATTATAAAATTTAACGAAAATAATCACAAGTTAGCGAAATATATTGCGAAATGTAGCTTATATTAAATTGCCACTCGATTGCATTATCGGCGGACTGACGTAATATAAAGTATAAGGTATACTTTATATTACGTCAGTCCGCCGATAATGCAATCGAGTGGCGATTTAATATAAGCTACATTTCGCAATATATTTCGCTAACTTGTGATTATTTTCGTTAAATTGTATACTTTATATTACGTCAGTCCGCCGATAATGCAATCGAGTGGCGATTTAATATAAGCTACATTTCGCAATATATTTCGCTAACTTGTGATTATTTTCGTTAAATTTTATAATTTCACTGCAGTTTTAATTTAAATTCAGTCGTTTAGTGGGCTGCCTATGATTTCATTCGTCATATTTTTAAAAAAATTATGTGATTCAATTGGTTGAAAAAATAAACAGTTTGTGACGTATTTATAGTAAAAATTTGGTTTCAGGGGGGTTGAACTACAACAGGAAGACTGCTAAAATACAAGATCGATTTTTTTTCGAAGATGAAATGGTGGATTTTAAAAACTTTTTACATCCATCCATAACTTTTATCTACAGCAAAACAACCAGGTAACTTTTGGCTACATGTACACGAAATGTCGTGAAATTCTGAGCAATAATGGCGAAGAAAATGTGCTATAAAAAAGACGGCGATATGTAATGCGAGCAAGCTTCGTTGTGAGTTGTGAACCTCGAGGTGAACCTTGCTCGACAAAGTGTATATAGGCAGTGAATTTAGTTAACAAAATTTATATGCGGATATGTAGAAAAAATATCAGAGTTCAATGTGGTATAATTTTTTATCATGTTTTATTTACGTATACGAAGTATTTTGCGTTTTGCCGAAGTCGTATATTCGTCAGTTGAGATATAGTTGCCAACCTTAGGTATAATCACAGAATAGGAAGTTATACCAGAAGCGTAACTCTAGTCGTTTCCCTTACTGTTTGACGTCCACGAAAATTTTTAACTCGCTCACGTCAGGCCACGCCATCCTGGCTAGTACAGCCACAGGCGGCCCAGACGTGTATTAGTGTATAGTAAATATATCATTATAGAATACACTACACAGTAAAATTTGTAATGAATTTTATATTTTAAAATCACATTTACTTGCCTACTTTGATTGTATGTGATCGTCTTTTATTTCTGAGCGACTTTACATTCGATGCCTGCGACTGTCTTCATAAGTGATAGTATTGAAAGCAAAGGCTAACGATTCCAGTTCTCAAACAGCCGACACGAACAATTCAAATCGAAAAATATCCCCTTCAAATTGCTTTGTTCCCGGTAAAACTTCGCCAGCGTATAGAATAAACACCCATCTTCAAACATACAATGCAATATTAACACGTTCTATAATTTTTGCAATGGATTTTTAGCGAAATGTTTCGAGACTAAAATTCTATGGAACTTAGAAAGCCCGATAATTACTACGGCGCCTGCTTGGCCACCTAGCCTCCTTTACCGTTTGGATTTTCAGGGGGGGGGATCGAATAAAAAATACCGACTGTTTACAATATTTGAAATCTGATATTGTAATTTATCAACAACAAAACTCTTTTCGATCGTATACAGCAACAACAGCCAGCGAATCAATGCCGCGATAGCAACGGTTTACTAT